GGATGATGGGACATGGGGACTGTCCTCTCTACTTCTGTGTGTATTTGAGAGGTCCCAGAATGAGAAGTTTAGGGGGGAAAAATAGGCAGATGTACTGTGTTCTTGGAACTCCCACAGTCCTCAGTCTCCTGAAGCTGGGACCCAAGCTCCCCCCTCCGGGGAAGAGACCCAGGAGGCCAAGGTCACCACAGACCTCCCTCCCCTCCTGTGGCTAAGACCAAATGGCCAGTCTCCTGCCGCACGGCCTCCACAGCCAGCCCTGGGGTTTTCTCCTGAAACCCTCTTTTTTTGATGCCTTTGGAACCAGCCTGTCCCCGACGCTCTTTCTCTACCCTTTCATTGGGCCCTCTGCCTCTACTAGGCCTTTAAATGCCTCTCTTTTCCGGTCCAGGCCTCATTTTGTCTTTTCTCATTCTCTACGCTCTCATCTGCTGCCCTGACTGCAGCTGTCCCCCGGGTCTGTGTCTCCAGCCCAGACCACAGGCCCGAGCTCACAGACCAAGTGTCCACGTGCTTGGTGGGCCCTGCCATCGGGTGGCCCTTAGGCACCTGGCACTCGTGAGCTTCCTTCACCAAATCCCCCCCCTCCTCCCGGCCCCATCGCGAGGGCACTGAGTTGGCCCAGCAGGGACCTGCGAGTTATTCTGGGTTCTCCCTCTCATCTGCCACATCCATCCTTCCAGTCCCTCCTTTCCCTGTGTCTCCTCTACCCTGTTCTCCCAGATGCTAACTTAGCCTGCTTCGGGCTCATCGTCTCACCTGGGCACTGAGCAGCAACCGCCCCCGTGGGCGCCTCCCTCGACCCACATTATCCTACCCAAAGAAACTTTTTAAAACACATATTATACGGGGTCACGTGCCGTATCACAAGGCTCAGAGGGCCAGGTGGCTGCCAGGGCACAGATGCAGCCTCCCCGCGGTCCCACCTTGGCCCCTCGCCCCCGGGCCTCAGCGTCTGCATAGGACCACAGTTCTCCCGAACACTCTGTGGACTCTCTTACCTCCGTGCCTTTGCTCATGCTCACTGAACCTTCTCTGAACCATCCACTGCCCTTCTCACCCTGCTGAGGTCCTTATGATACTTAAAGATGCACCTCCAATCTCACTGGGCGCCTGTATCCTTAGTGGGCTTCCCAGGCTGAACCTTGTCTGTGTTTGCCTGGCACGTAATAGTGGCTCAGAAGGCATCTGCGGAAGGGAAGGGAATTTTTTTTTTAAATATAAGTCTTTAATCGTATCTAGTTTAGTGAGAATATAAAGCCTGCTGGCAGCTATCTTAGTCCGATGGCTGTTTTAAAAAATTATGACAAACAGTGGCTCAAAGCAACACGGATTTATTCTCCTACGGTTCTGGAGATCAGAAATCTAAAATGAGTGTCCCCGGTGTAATCACGCATCAGCAGGGCTAAAGACTCCCGAGAAGAGCCGTTTCCTTGCCTTTTCCAGCTTTCAGAGGCTGCCCGCTTTCCTTGGCTGGTGGCCCCTGCTCCCATTTTGTCCCTTAGGAGCCAAGTCCTTCTTTCCCTTGTAATTGTGTTGGGCCCAGCCAGAGAATTCAGGATAACAGCCCCATCTCAAGATCTTTAATGTAATCACCTTTTGCCATGTGAGGTGACCCATTCACCGATTCTAGGAACTAGGCTGTGAACATCTTAGAAGGGTCCTCGTTCTGTCTCCTAGAGCAGCCTTTTTCAGAGATGAGGTGCCGAGCTTTTGAAACACCAGTTAAGCAGTGTTTGGGTTTCATTCTGAATAAGGATGAAATTAGATCAGCCATGCATTTCATTGCACACAAAGGAAGTTGTTCAACTTGCCTCTGCCCCAGGTCTGAAAGGAAGGACTCGCTGCCTCTTCCAGATCCCCGTGTAGGGTGTTTAGCCTGGCTCGGGACAGGTCTCGGGGGAATCACATAAGAGAGACGTGCCAGTCGCTTGACCTCCAGTGAGGCGAGAACTCCTGTTTTTTCCTGGGAAGCCCATGAAAGCCCTGGAGGGCTAGTTGCAGGACTCACTCGCTGTCAGGAACTGACAGATTCCTACCTCCCTGATCTATGAGCCTGGTACCTGAGCGGCGACAGGAAAAGACAAAGCTGTAAAAAAGAATTGTCAGGATCCCCCAGACAAAGCCTGCGGCCGCCAAGCTCCTCCTTTGGGAAGATGTGGGTTCCAGATTGTTGCCTTAGGCATTAATCGCTTTCCCTGGAGCCAGAAGAAAATGAAGATTAATAATAATAATTTTTTTAAAAAAATTACTCCTCAGGGGCTGCATATGAAAGAACAGAGGGCACAGAGCTGCAGTTTGATACGATGATCCATGGCTTCTAGATCAGGGCTGGTTCCATCTCCCGGATGGTAACCTTGCAGGTGCTACCCTTGCAGGCTGGCCGGCAGTCCCGAAGAGCAGGCTCGGTCTTGGAAGCTTACCTCATCCAATGTCAGAGCTGGACAGGAACCTTGGAAATCATGTTTCTCAACTCTCTCACTTGGAGATGAGCTTAGACTCCATTGCCCAAGGTTGTGTAGCTCAGTGGACTCAGGAATGAGATAAGAACAAAAAGGAGGGTGTGACAAGCTCTTATTTATCCTTTGTGCTGCAGAATTAAATACTGTAAGTGTTTAGACACAAGCAAGGTCCTGGGGCCCAGCGGGCCAAGCAGGCTTTTGAGCTGGATGGACCATACAGAGTGGATGGGGCAGGGTCTGTCAGATAGTTTGAGGAGACCAGGGAGGGGTCACCAAGCGAGGGGAGATACCATGAGTGGAGACCTGCCTTTCCAGAACAGAGGGGAGAGCTCCGTGGTTGGAATAAGGGTGCTGGAAGAGTAGGTGGGACAAATTCTAGAACTCTAGAAATCCAGACAGGTTTTGGACTTCATGTGAGTGATCATAGACCCAAAGAGATTTGGCCTCAGAGAAATGGCAGCTGAACATAGAATTTTGAAGGAAGATGCTTGTGTATGATGAGACACCACATATATTCCTTTAGGATCCATCTAGGAAAGAAGAACCCAGAGAGTTGGGGGCCAGAAACAGGGCTTTCCTTGAGCGTGGTCTCCAGAAGGGAGGCCTTCTTTCATTTCCTTTTTAAATAATATGTTGTCTTGATGGTGGTTGAGACTAGAATGGGAAGGCCTTAGGAACACAGTGTAGAACAAGACTGTGCTCACCCCTGAGTCTGGGCCCAGCTCCTCGCCCAGACCTACCCCCCTCAGCCCACAGTCCTGAAGACTGTTGGCACCTCTGGGGCGCCTGGGTGGCTCAGTTGGTTAAGCGACTGCCTTCGACTCAGGTCATGATCCTGGAGTCCCTGGATTGAGTCCCGCATCGGGCTCCCAGCTCAGCAGGGAGTCTGCTTCTCCCTCTGACCCTCCTCCCTCTCATGCTCTCTGTCTCTCATTGTCTCTCTCGCAAATAAATAAAATCTTTAAAAAAAAAAAATTATAAAAAAAAGACTGTTGGCACCTCTGACCAAGAGCCAGCTTACCCGCAGGAAATTGGGATGCAGCCCCTATTCCTAAAGGAGGAAGGAGCACTCGGTTAGTATTTGTATGGCCAGGCCCAGACTGGGTACTGGGGGTAACTACGGTCCAGATCATCTTCACAGAGCTTCAAGGCGTCGGGAATACAAACTCATAAACATACTGACGTACCCGGTGGTGACGGCAGTGTGTCCGGGTTGCCATGGCATCGCTGGGAAGGATGCCCGCCCAGCTCTGAGTCCCGCACCGCGACAAGGGCGAAAAGACAGTGCGAGCACACGTAGGGAGAATGCCTGAGAGGTGGTAAGGCTGCAAGGGAGGATGAGTTCAGGACCTTTTCAGGAGGTAAAACAGGCCAAACGTGGGGAGTTGGGGGGGAGGATGGGGGAGGCTGGAAGGCCTCTGGGTTCTAGCCTGGAGGACACCAACCGAGATGGAGGATGAGGAAGGAGAGGGTTGTGGGGGGAGCAGGTATTGAAGCAGGTGTGGACAGGCTGAGGCTGAAGTGCCCTGACCTGCATCCCGGCTTGGGGAGCCCCACCGCGCATGGCACACGACACGGGGCAGGCTGACCTCCTCTGTCTTCACGATGGCAAGATCCCTATGCCTCCCCAAAGAAGCCAAGGATACCTTGAGGAAAGTGGTTATCATTGTCTGAACAGACCGCCAGTTCTTTTCGTTAAGAGGAATCCTTAAAAGCCCATTCATCTGCAATGATGTTTACAGTGTCCTGGCTTAAGCAACATCTACAAAGAAATCTTTGTGATCCAGATGGGTAGACCCGGGCATGTATTCTTCTTAAACACTTTGATCTTTAAACCACTGTCCTCCGATAATACGGTGAGAACTTGAGTCGTACGGCCCGGGTACCGTCCCAGTCATTATCCCTGTCTTCGGTCAAGCAGATGCTCAAGTCCAGCGCCAGACACCCACTCCCCGAGGTATGTGAGCTCTCAGCTCTCAGCAGAGAGGGAGCCGCCACTGTCCCCCTGAGCTCTGGAGCGGAGCGCCACTGGACGGGGTCAAATGCCTTTGATGGGATCTCAGTCTGTGCTGCGTCCTTGGGCAGGCCACCCGGGGACCACCCGTCCCCTTGCTCCAGCGGCTGGGGGTCTGCTCATTCTCCGGGCACGTTTACACATCAGAGCCTCTCATTCTGCCCCCACTGCACCACCACGCTTGTCACAGTTCTCTTCTATAATCACAGTATTTGTTGTTACTCGAGATAGAAGGCTCATAAAAAATACCGGTTTTTGTTAGGGGCTGTAAGAGATTCCAGGAGCTCAGGGCCCTGACTTTGGGAAACATTGTAGTTATTTTACTCAGCAACGAATTCTCAAATCCATGGAGTTGTCCCTCTGTTTTTTAGGTAGCTGTTGAAGTTTGAATTTTGTTTTAAACATCGCATACATACTCTGTTTACCGCTGACCTGCTGGCTGCTTGCTCAGCTAACACTTGTAACTAGAACGTGTGCTGTTAGAGGTTCCTTTTCTAATGCACTGATAAATGTTGTTTGCACAGAGATTTTGCTTATGTAGCAAGAGACAAAGATACAAGAATTTTGAAATGTCATGTGTTTCGATGTGACACACCAGCAAAAGCCATCGCCACAAGTCTCCACGAAATCTGTTCCAAGGTAAGGTGGGTCAGGACGCAGTGGTGCGTCTCTCTGTCTTTTCTCGCCACCTGAGCAGGGAAGCAGGTGTGGTCTGGGTCTCACGCTGATGACGTTCTGCGGCTTAGGCAGAGTCACGGAGCCTCAGAATGAGGACAGGCAGCTGGGCATCGCCGGACCGGCCCCCCCTCCTTCCCTCCAGCAGAGCAGTCCTGACAGAAACATCCCCATCCTCTGCCTGGGACCTCTGTTGACCTCCATTAACAGGGTTTTGTAGTTTTCAGGAGACTGTGCTATTAATCAGCAGCTCTGGCTGTTCTAGAGTTCATCTTTGCGTAGATCTGAAATCACCCTCTCTAGAACCTCCACGTAGTTACGTGAGATGTGTGATCTATAGCAACAGAGAAAGATTCCTCCATTTTAGTCTCTTTGCCCGGCCAGCCCTTTAGTGTTTGAAGACATCTGAAGCTGCTGGCTGTTCCTGTACGTTTGGGGGTGCTAGATAGCTCTCTGTCCAGTCTTCCTGCTCCTGTCTTCCTCCTTTCTCCAGAAGCCCCATCTCTTTTGGGTCCCAAGGTTACGAGGCTCCTACCCCTCTTCTCCTGCATACTCTAGTGGGGTCCCCCTGAAGGAACACAGTGTCCCATGGGCAAGCCAGTGGAGAAAAGACCACGGGCCACTCTGTCCCTTGACCTCCAAGGAGTACAGTACAGGGGTGATTGATGTTTTTAGCAACCACATCACCTGCCGGCTTGTGTTCAAATAGCTGTTGGCCAGATCCCCAGGGCGCTGTCATGGATGTCCTGCGGCCAGGCCTTTCCACTCCCCAGACTGACTTAATCTGAACATGGGACTTGGCCGTCAACTCTGCTGGATGTCACCTTTCTAGTTTGAGGCGGATGCCGAGACCCGGCCTTGTGACAGTGCTCCCTCAGCTCCCTGCCCAGGCTGTAGCCCGGTGTCTGAGCAGCAGAAGCAAAGCAGGTGCCAGCCACGTTTCCTAAGGGATGGGTAGGAGCTGGGACCGGTCTGCTGCTCTAATCCCGGCGACCACCCTCTATCCCACTCTGGCGTCGACAGGCCCGTGCAGCGCGCGTCCTCCTTGTCCCTGCCTTCATTCAGTCACGGCAGCCGATAGCTCGGAACGCCATTTACGTGCCAGGTACTGTTCTGAGAACACAGCAGAGACTAAACGGGGGGAGAAAATCTTTGTCCTTGTGGAGCTTGTGTTCTCGTGTCAAGCCGCCAGAACACGGCCTAGCACAGAGGAAGTGCTCGGTGAAATGTATGGCTGTTGTTGGTAGTGGCCCTCTGGCCCGCCGTCCCAGGCACGGACCGCGAGAGGGCTGGCGGGGGGCTCTGGGCCCGAAGCGACTTCTGTTCCGCCTGGAATGCAAAGCTTGGGGCTGGGAATGAAGGTGTGACTGACTTGGGGGGTCACCGAAGGGGGGCGTTCTTTCAGTCCCTAAACCAACAGCACTGAGCGAAGAGGAGCGAAAGGTGATGCTCATGGCCCCTCGCAGCAGACCACCAATTCAGTAGCCAGCTGACGGATTTGGGAACAGTCCTGATAGCAGCGAATATTTCCGAGCGCTGACACTGAATCCTCAGAACCGACATAACATTATCACTGGGGACGTAAATACTAGGATTCCCAGGTGCGAAGAAGAAATGAGGCACAAGAGGTCGGGTGACTGGCCCAAGGTCACACAGCTAGTATGTAGCGAAGGTGGGATTTGAACCTACAAACACTATCCCCAGAGCCCTGAAAAGAGTGTTCAGCTTTCAGGAGCAATGGGAAAAGCCCGTTGCTGTGGGCAACCGTGGGCCAGCAGAGGGTATCTGTTTGGGTTGTTTCACTAGAGGCGGGAGCCTGCTGAATGGAGGAATCATTTCCGAGCAATCAGGAGACTGCAACTCGGAGGGATAGTCCCTCGCCTGTTACCCCTGGGGAAAGGAGCATAGTTCTCAAAACAGCTCAGCGATACAGGGGTGGGAAGTCAGGCCGTAGACTGAAGCCTGTTTGACTCGGAAGCCAGGTCAGCTCAGACCCTCGCCTGGCGGGAATAGCTGAAGACATGGGGTCTGTAGCCACGGACCGCAGGTGTGTTTTCTCTTCTTCAGATTATGGCCGAACGGAAGAATGCCAAAGCCCTGGCCTGCAGCTCCTTACAGGAAAGAGCCAATGTGAACCTCGACGTGCCCTTACAAGGTAGGTCAGCGGCGGCCGCTCTCCTCATGCTGGCGCCGTCCCGCGGTCCGTCCTAGTCAGAGCCAGAGGCCCTTCCCTGCTTCCTGAGAAGCCATGCTCAAGCCAACAGATGCTCGCTGAGCAAGCACCAGGGGTCCTCCTGGGCACAGAGTTAATGTTGTGTCAATAGGATGAGGCACAAAAGGCCAGGATGAGTCTTCTTGTTCCTGGACAAGATGAAAGAATATTACCTTTAGTGGTTTTGTAGCTCAGGTACAGCGTGGGATAAGAACCAGCTAGTTTAAAAATATATGGGTTGATGTGGGGAAAAAAATGTTGTTCTTAAGTATAATGATGAATGTTAAGCAGACTTACTCTGGTAATTGTTTTTGCAATATATGCAAATATCAAGTCACCGAGTTGTACACCTGAAACACAGAATGCTCTCTGTCGGGACAGTTATACCTCTGTCGTAAAATAAAAATACAGATATTTGGGGGGTTTCTGTGTAGTTCCTCCTCGTGCCTCTGTGCCCTGAGTGATGAGGTCTTCCCTGGGCATCAAGCAGGCCATCAGAAGCCGGTGCTCAGCATGTGTCAGATGGTGGCGGCTCGAATGCACGCGGTGCCCTCGGCGCTCCCCCGCGCCTCCCCTGCCAGAAGGGAAGGCTGACCGGGATTTCGGTGGGCTGGGGGGGCCCCGGCGTCTGCTGGGAGAGAGGCTCTTCTCCCAGCACGGGAGCTGCCTCTTCCTCTGAAGCGGGGCGCCGTGGCGCAGGGGAGGGGGCCCCCGGCCGTCCAGACCATACGCAGAGCGGCGGCTGTGTAGACGTGTGTGCTGGGACCATGGCGAAAGATCTGTTGCTTTTGCTCTCTGTAGTAGATTTTCCGACACCAAAGACTGAGCTGGTGCAGAGGTTCCACGTGTGGTACTTGGGCATGTTACCCGTCGACAAGCCAGTCGGTACGTGCAGCACTTACGTCCTTTCCCTGTGCGAGTGTTCGGGAGCCCGTGGGGGGAGCCCCCCCTGCCCGGAGGGAGGGGGCTGTTCTGTCCCCTTTCCTGGTCTTGAATCAGGCCCCTGCCCTGTGAGCAGCCACAGCACGTAAACGGTCCTGATCAGAAGAGCAATAGGGGACAGGCTAAGCTGCTCGGTCATCTTGTCCGCAGAACGGAGGGACTCGAACGAGGCAGACACATAGTTCTCATTCACGCAGCTGTCCCGAGACGCGTGATCCAGGGCTCTGGAGGGCTCTGCTCTTCTCAGAGGGAGCTTCCGTCTCTGGGGCCGGGGTGCCTGCTCTGGTCCTTGTTGACCACTGGGCAGGGGGAAAAGGCTGAGGGAGCCCTTGTGCTTTCCTTTTCAGGGGTGACCCCAAAGCAGCACAGCCCGCAGTCAACTCCCATCCCAGGGGTTAGAACTTACCAAGCTGACAGGAGGCTGGGAGATGGAGCCTTTCCCTGGGTAGAAAAGGCTGAGGAGAAATCAGAACCCTCATGCCCTGCTTGGGAGAAATGGTACAGCTGCTTTGGAAAAAAGTCCGGCAGGTCAAACACACAGTTACCACTGGACTCAGCAGTTCTGCTCCTGGGCATATCCCCAAGCGAAATTAAAACATCCGTCCACACAAACATTCGCAGCTACACTTATTCATCATAGTCAGAAAGTGGGAACAAATGTCCGTCAACTGACAAAACAGATTAATAAAATGTGATCCTGCCAAAAAATAAAATAAAACTGTGATGCCGCCATACCGTGTGATTTTATTTGGTGGTAAAGAGGCATCAAGTACTGACATGTGCTACAACATGGATCAGCCTAGAAGACAGGATGCCGCACGACAGCGGCCAGAACCAAAGAACCACGTACTGTGTGATTCCATGTGTACGAAACGTCAAGAAGAGACAGCCCTCTGGAGATAGAAATTGAATCAGTAATTGCCTAGGACCAGGGGGCTGGGAAGAACTAGATGGTGACCCCGAAAATGTACAGGGTTTCTTTTCGGGGTGATAAAAATGTTCTAAAATTGATTGTGGCGATGGTTGCACCACTCTGTGAATACACTACAAACTCGCACATGGTACACTTCAGATGAGTAAATCGTATGTGATTTACCCACCCCCACCCCCCCACACACTGCCAACACTCAGCCGGAGGGCCCCTTGCACAGTGCATCCTGCTCACGTACAAGGCCTTCCACACTTGGCCTCGTTTAAGTGGCAAAGTAAGGTGGAGGAAGATTGGGGTATTCTAGCGAGTGCTGGCTTCTGTTCTGTTCCTCTTCCCAAGGCTCCTTGCTTAGGAAGAGGTAACATTTGTTTAAGTACTATCTATATACTCGGGGCTAGAGACTCTTTGGAGAGAAAGTAGCACCGTGGTCCAGTTAGACTGGACATCACCCACTACACCTCTCCAGGGGTTCTCATGACCCTTCTTTCTGTTGAAAAAGCTGGCATTTTTTTTTTTCTTTTAAGCAATGAAATGCTCAAAATGTCTTCTGGGGCTACAAAAAAAAAGAAAAAAGATCCGTTTGGGTGTAGCTGCTACTGGGTGATTTGGGCCCACGCTGGAGAGTGATAAATGGCTTTAGGACCTTGTTCAGCAATCTGTTCCATCCACAGGAATGGATACTCTGAACAATGCCATAGAAAATCTTATGACCTCATCCAACAAGGAGGATTGGCCGTCGGTGAACATGAATGTGGCAGATGCTACTGTGACCGTCATCAGTGAAAAGGTGAGCAGGATCGGACATGGGGTTGGTCTGTGTGGGTTACGGTAATCTCCCGTGAAACACAGACACGTAGCCAAGGCTTGACCTTTGGGGGGTGGGGGGCAGGGGGAGGGGTGGTTATGCTTAATTGTGAGTAAGATGCCTGCATTTTTAAAAAAACAGCTTTTTTTTCTGCCTTTGTGTCTGGATCTCTGCATCACTGTGCTTTTCTTTGAACTAAGAAGCTTCTCTCCTGGTGCTCCCAATTCTTTCTTCCTCTTGCGCCCCAGAGATGGAAATCATTTGCTAGAGGTACCTGTATGACACCGTCAGTCACTCCTTGCAGGGTTTGGTTTTCTGGCTACTCTCCAGGCTTCAGTGTGGACCGGGCTCTTTGTCTGGAGTTGGGGCGCAGGAGCTGCTTCGGTTGTGGGAGGTCCTGGGGTTTGTTCTGTCAGGAGCAGCAGGGGCTGATGGTCATTGAGAGAGGCCAGCATTAGCCTCAGACCAGACTGTCCCAATTTTATGGTTGAGGAAACTGAGGCACAAGGAGATCGAATAAGTGTCTGTGGTCACAACAGCTAGAAGCAGCAAGTTCAGGATTCAGTCCAGCAGTCTGCTCCAGACTCCTGACCCCTTTTCAGTTCTCCCTCTGTGAGGCACCTGTCATGGAAAGACCCCAAGGCATTGGCGTGCTCTTGATTCTGTCCACGGGGAGCTCACTTTTGAGCCCAATGCACCTTCGCAGAAGGAGTTAGGAGTCAGATGCTCACTGACCCTGCCTCTCAGCCTGCCAGGCTGGATCTTCTTAAGTCTTTAAACGTGTCACGCCCTTTTCTCCCTCAGCATCTGCAAGTGCTGCCCCCTCTGTGCCCACCCCCCCCACCCCGCCCGACCCTTACCCGGATCTCAGCCTAAACCTCCTAAACATCGTTTCTCCCAAGAAAACTTCATGGCGCCTCAGGCTCCTTTCATTTGCTATAAAAGAATTCTGTAGCACCTGAGTGAATATTTAGTAAGTCAAGAGTTAATGATCCAAAAGTCAACATTCTGGATGTGTTTACTAATTCAAAAATTGCATATGGTTGCTGCAGAGGATGTGGTGTTCATAAGAATGAATTCCGAACATTTCTTTACCCTGCATCATATGGATACCATATGGACACCAGTTTGGGGAGGGGGGGAGTGATTTGGCAGCTTTTCTACACGGTTTTAGATAGAAATACGATTCAGCGTACTATTTAGCATGGGAAGGAGAACCGGACGAAAAGAGATGCCGTGGCTCATTTTCTCTTGGTGCCCTGAGGTTTCCAGCGGGTTCGCCTGGCCGAACGGGTTTTGGGCCGCCGGGTGCCCTGTGTGAGCAAAGCCTACCGAGTTTGCGTGACCCCCTGCTGCCCACCGTGGACGCCCAGGCCCGCAGTGTGGTAGCCAGAGAACAGAACACACGCGACCGCAGCGAAGTTCGGAGCAGACTAAATGTCAGTGAGACGCCCGCATAGCAGGGGTGGCCTCTCCAGACACATTTAGAAACTCGCCTTTCTAGAAAAATACGAGTGCTTGCTAAATCCAGGCAAGCTATATATTTTTAATGCCAGTGTCTCTCTGCTCCGCTCCGGCCTTGATTCTGCGGTTTAAGGAATGAGCCCGTTTAGTAGGACTGTTGCCCGGCTTCACAGAGAGCGGGCTGCTCAACAGCGTGTCTTGCAGAATGAAGAGGAAGTCTTGGTGGAGTGCCGCGTGCGATTCCTGTCCTTCATGGGCGTCGGGAAGGATGTCCATACGTTTGCCTTCATCATGGACACCGGGAACCAGCGCTTCGAGTGCCATGTGTTCTGGTGCGAGCCTAACGCGGGTAACGTGTCGGAGGCAGTGCAGGCCGCCTGCATGGTGAGTGGTCCCTGCGGGGCGCTGCCGCGGCTCTGCGCCTCTGCTCTCGTGCTGTGTGCAGGAAATCAGGGCGGAGCTCCTCATTTGAAGGAAAATAGGTCTCCTCTCTAAAGGGACGCTCTGCTGGGTCGCGCCCCCAGTCCTGCGGACGCGATCCGTCGTGGCGAGCAGTTGGCCATCTCAGTGGCCAAGGGCGCCGACAGGAAGCCGGGCCGATGGAGCCGCATTCTGTAGGGACTCTGGTACCCCTGACAGCAGGGATCGTCAAATCTGCAGATTGGAGGAGTCTTATTTCTCGATCCCTGATTAACTTCAGTATACGGTCAGGAAATGTTGGGCGTGTAGGAGTTGGTGCTCTTTAGAACCAGCTTAGGACTTAAGAAATGCAGTGGGTTGAATGATTTGTATTTCAGATAGTTGGTTTCAGCACGTCGGTCTTATATATTTAATTTGTATCTGTGAACTTAGTCCTTACAACGACCATTTGTAGGGTGGTTAGTTCTGTTTTATTTATGAGGACACAGAGGCTCAGAGGAAAGGTGATAAGAGACAAAGCCTGCGTTCAGCCCCGAGTTTTTCAGGTGACACAGCCACGCTCTTTATACCACATATAGGATTTCAAACAAAAATACCTCATTCTTCATTCTGCAAATATCCTTTGAGCACCTATGATGCTGGGCACTGAAAAAGTTCTATTTTTTTTTTAAGATGTTATTTATTTATTTGACAGAGAGAGACACAGCGAGGGAGGGAACACAAGCAGGGGGAGTGGGAGAGGGAGAAGCAGGCTCCCCGCCGAGCAGGGAGCCCGATGCGGGGCTCGATCCCAGGATCCTGGGATCATGACCTGAGCCGAAGGCAGACGCCTAATGACTGAGCCACCGAGGCGCCCCAAAAAAGTTCTAGAAAAACTGAGGGAACAGTATGAATGTAGGCATCAAGACCTGGGGTGGGTGCGAATTCTTAGCAGCAGCAAGTTGGATAGCTGGAACTGAGAAAAGGATGTGACGTCATGCCAGCGTGTTTATCTTCAGCGAACATTGTTAAGCAGGAGTGATGAATTGATACTGGGTTTTAAAAGCATACTCCCCCAAAAAGAGAGACTAGAGGAGGGGATGGGTTGAAAGGACAATGGCCAGGAAGCCATTATACTGGTCCACACCTGGGTTCCGGAGGGTCTAAACCAGGAGTGTGGCAGTGGAGTAAGCAGGAGCAGATGCCTTGGGACGTGGTAGAGAATCGCCTGGCTGGGGATGAGCAATACTGAATGTGAAGCACCGGTTCTTCATTTAATTCAACCCACCGTTCATGGGCTGGACTCTGGAAAGTTCGAGTGAGATCCGATCCTTGCATTACAGAGCTTAGCTACAGGGGGAGACACGTGAGCCAGTTGTGGTGTAAAAGTGCTGTGAGTAAAAGTATAAGACCACACTGGACTGAGAGGTGGCCAGGAGGAAAAAGACGCAGAGACCCTGAAAGTCGACCAAGGTCTGACAGGGAAGGGGTAGTTCAAAGCACAACAGTAAGGGGGTTTGCTTCTTATTTTATGGGGGAGGGAAACTCACACATTTTTTAGACTGAGGGAAATGAGCTAGCAAAGCTGGATTGAAATGGGGGTCATAGGGGCGCCTGGGTGGCTTAAGCATCTGCCTTCGGCTCAGGTCATGATCCCAGGGTCCTGCGATCGGGCCTGCGTCGGGCTCCCTGCTCAGCAGGGGGGTCTGCTTCTCCCTCTCTCTCAAATAAATAAAATCTTTAAAAAAAAAAAAAAAAGAAAAGAAAAGAAATGGGGGTCAGATATACAGTTGGGGCAAGGTCTTGGTGGTAGATTAAGAGCCTAGGGCTGGGGTTTAGCCTCCTCACTGGGTCACGGTGACTTCGAGACTAGCCAGACGCTAGGGGTCCAGGAGAAGCAGGTGGTGTTGAGGGAGGCAGCAGGAGTTCCCTGTTGTTTCCACGTGGTAAACACGCAGTTGCCGGGTGAAGAATGAAGCAGAGGATGAGCTGGGCTCTAGATGGCCAAGGCGAGGCACGGGGAAGGGAGCCAGCTGACTTAAAGGACACCTTTGAGTGGAGAGGGGAGGGAAGGAGGGAAGGCAAGAGCCGGTGCGGGGTGCTCATGGGCTGGCGTCCTTCTGCCCTCAGGCCTTTGTCAAGTGCCGTGGAGCCGGGAGGCTAGTAACTCAGATCTGCCCACAAGAGAAGGGGCGGGGGGGGGGGGGGGCTGGGGCTGGCAGAGCTGGTAGAGGGGTCCAGGTGGACCCCCGAACCCAGCATGGGAGACTGAGACGGGATGAAGACAATGAAAGCATCCAGTCAAGCAAAAATGGAGGATGACTATTTAGGTATTTCATGAAATTGAAAAAGGATCATAACAGATGGTTTTAGTCGTAAAATGAATGGCTTTCAGCCTTAATTGTACATTTTAAATGCTGGTGACAATTAAATAATTAGCTTTATCACTGGTTACAGTTTGTTTTCTGATTCCCAGACTCATTTTCTAAGAAACAATTTTTACTCATTTACTTACGATTTTAATTGCAATAGGGAGGCCAGCTGAAGCAGCTCGGCCAATCCAGTATAAAGGCGCACTGATAACATCACACTCTTTACACTCAGATCCCAGCATTTCTGACTCAGTGGCTTTCCTCTGGAGTCCGATCTGCATGAATCTCTGTCTGAACTATCTGCGCGTGAATTTATACCATCTGAAATACCTGTGGTGTTGACCCACTCTTTTGAATCTACTTAATTTTTAGGCATCTTTTGCAGTGTGTGGTATAGGCCCAGCTGAAGATATTTTGGTGAAATTTAGGAGAGAGGGAGCCTGCCTGAAATTCATCAGGTGCAGTTTTGACTCACACTGGACACACCTCCCAGGAGAGATTCCTAGTCCAGTGCACCATGATGCGACAGCTGCCCGTTTACAGATCTGTGCTTTGGAACTGTGTGGTCTGGGTTGTGGTGCAGACCTAGCAAGGTACCTTACGCAGAGGAAACGAGAAATCCTTTCTTGGATGACTGGTCGAAAGGGGCTAGTTCTATAACCTCTGGGCTTTGTGACTCGGGAGTCCTACCTGGAGTTCATGCTTCCCGTGGGGAAGCATCAGCCTGTTTCACACTGTACTAAAGAACCTATTGATGTTTAAGTAGAGTTTAAAAAAATCAGCCATGGAATCAATTATTTTAAAGTGCTTGGATTAAGAAGAAACGTATTTGGTAAATTTTAACCTTCGTATCTAATTTTGAAGAATTGCTTATCTTCTCATTAATATAAAAGCAGGTGGATTGTGTTTCATTTCTGAAGGAGGGAAACTGGTGCCAACAGCGCTAATGGACAGTTAAAACCCATTAGGATTTAGGGGCTTCTGGCTGGCTCGGTCGGCAGAGCATGCAACTCTTGATCTTGGGGTCATGAATTCGAGATTACTTAAAATTTTGAAACCCATTAGGATTTAGACTTGCAGATAAAATGTATCCTGAAATCTGTACACATCCTTCTGTTTTGTTAAAGCAAGAAACAGGAAAGGGACCGAACATTTCTGAACGCCTTCAGTGTTGCTAGGCGTTTTCGGCATTCTGCAAGGATTCCTTAATCGTAACGGCCTCTGTGAAGGTCCCAGCTTTGTGCCATTTTACATGGAAGCAACTGAGGGTGAGAGATTGAGTACCTTGCTTGGGTCATACAGTTCACGTAAGTGATAGAGCCCAGATTCAGACTGTGCCCTTTCTACTGTGTTGTCTCCCAGTTAGCCCTGAGCACTCACCTCATGTACAGAGTTGTACCTGTCTCCCACAAAACTCGAATATTGTCTGGCCCGATCCTTTTCCTTTTCATTAGCTCTTTGACTTTTAGGTATATTAATTACAGCCTATCCATATAGAGAACAAGTAGAGGGTGGAGAAGGATGGCAAAAGCCACCACACCTTTGTTGAGCCGAATGATCTTTTTTTCCCCGAGATCGAGACCTGAGCTGAGATCAAGAGTCGGATGCTTAACCGACTGAGCCACCCACGTGCCCCAAGCCTAATGATTTTTTTTTTTAAAGATTTTATTTATTTATTTGAGAGGGAGAGAATGAGAGAGAACACATGAGAGGGGGGAGGGTCAGAGGGAGAAGCAGACTCCCTGCCGAGCAGGGAGCCCGATGCGGGACTCGATCCCGGGACTCCAGGATCATGACCTGAGCCGAAGGCAGTCGCTCAACCGACTGAGCCACCCAGGCGCCCAGCCTAATGATCTTTTGAGAACATTTCAAATACCCACATTAAGAAATAAACTGTTGGGTTTATGTTTAGGAGCTAGGTCATTACATTTTGGAAGTAAATGTATTGGTGGATTAAAGTGAAATGAAACAAGAAGGGATGACACGTCATTAACGACCATAAAACACTTCTGCTTCATTTCAGTTACGATACCAGAAGTGCTTGGTAGCCAGGCCGCCTTCCCAGAAAGTTCGACCACCTCCTCCGCCAGCAGACTCAGTGACCAGACGGGTCACAACCAATGTAAAACGGGGGGTCTTATCCCTCATTGACACTTTGAAACAGAAACGCCCTGTCTCAGAGACACCATAGCTGCATATGTTAAAGGATTCTGGAATACGTACCTGAAGATTGAATAGCTACACTAAAGAAGATGAACTGATACCTGGCCTTCCATTCAGTTGCTGATGCTTTGTCTTCAGAGAATTAATCCTTAACCAAACAGTGTTAGACAAGCATGTTCTCTTGTCTTGCCACCATCCTGTGATATGAAAAGAAGCATGACTAATTTTTTTTGCTATCAGTCAGATACATCCTGAGCAGTGGAAGGTCTTTTTCTTACTGTAAATATGGTGACCATTACTTGACTTCATGCACACGGAGAAGAATGTGGCCACAGCCCTCCTCGTGAACTACAGCTGAGTCCTTGGGGCGAATGGCGCCAGAGTTAGTTTCACTGTCTTCTGGACTGGATCTGTCGCAAGCACTTGCCCCGTGTCCAACCTTGGAGTAGCCAGCGCGTACCAGATACCATGGAATTGCTGTAAAAATAGGATGAGGAGTTTTTGTTTCAGTCTTTCACGAAATCAAACCTTTTGGTTGACAACACTGGCTGTCGGCATCAGAACAGAAACCAGCCGGCGGCTTTCCTTGACGAGCTCTTGGACGCACAGACGCCATTTCAGGTCTACAGCTGCTTGTGGGATGTTGGGGGCAGAAGTGAAACTTCAGAATTGAAAAGTAAACCAAATTTGAGCAATTGAAATCGAGCAAAAAAATAGCCTTTCTAGATGGCTTTCAAACCGATTATTTAAAAAAAAAAAGAAAAATGAAAGAAAATCATAATGCATTTCGGGTGGGACGTATTTCAAACTTCTGCCTTATGTTGTACAATACAGCTAGAGAATTATAGTTCACTATGGCCATTCTCTACACAAACAACGTTAAAATGAAATATTTCTCCTACGCCTTTCATCCTTAGTTTGATAAGTAGCCAATATGCAATTTGGAGTTGAGGAAATGTCATTTATATTTTGGGTCTCCACCACCACATTATTATGTTGGTCTTCCTAGTGAAACGTTGTGCTAGGATTCCGTATCCAGCTCAGTCTTACCCTCATGCTTTTTGCCCAGAAAGCTGTCTGTCCATCATGTATTGTCCATGGCAACAAATTACATTAAATTGAACCTTTCTGAAGTTATGTATTTAATATTAGAATTTGTTGGACTTTACTAGATATATTTTTAAATTTCTATTTTTTTCAAGATTTAAAAATTTCATATCAGAGCAAAATATACATAGCAACACTGGACTGCTTAACAAGTTTCCCCAAAATAGCATTTTCCTGCTTCTCTTTTCTCACCTATAAAGATACACAGATTTAGACTCTTGTTGACATTATCTTAAAAGGAAGTTGCTAAGGAGACCAATCTAAATATTAGTCTTATTTACTTTTCAATGTCAAAATTAACATTTTAAGACATCCAGTTATAAAAAGTAACACTTTATCTACTGCGATGTATTTGTTAAAACGGCTTCCACATTCTTACCCCATTTGAGCCTTATGAGGTAGAGAAAGGTACTAAACACATTTGAGAAATAAAAATATGTATAAAGTACCAAGAGGCTCAATCATGTAGCCTAAGATCTCTCAGAAGTTTGCGAGAGAACCAGGACGAGAACCCACGCTTCCCAGCTCTGTTGTAAGTCGTGCTACTTCCACATCAGTGAGGAAGGGTCTCTCCACAGTTAACTCTGGGCATGTCCAGTTAGTGTCAAGAAATCTTAGAATTCCCTGTAGGAGGAGAGGAATACATCCAAGTTCCTCACACAGCAGTCTTAATCGTAAAACCATTGCCCTCTCTCAGTCCAGGCCTCTTGCCCTGCAGCGTGCCTCAGACGTGTTGCGGAGGACAGGATCTTACATGCCGTGCAGCCTGTTCAACTTCCGAGATTTCCCAGAGGTGGTGGTACGGGTAGTAGAGACAGTCCTAACTCATGGTACTTCGCCACCGGAGAACATAGTGGAGTAGGGGGCCTCCTGCCCCTGTTCCCTCAGAATTCTGGGACTGTTTGCTAGCGCTCTAGGGTCACAACAAAAAAGATGCCACCCTAGAAATGAATTCTACTTCTCACCAGCCTATGTACTATTCTATCTGAAATAACCAGTGCCATCATAAGAAATTATTGCGTTAAGAAAATCCTTAGTTTGCCCTTTGAAAAGCTGTTCAAAATTCAATCACAATGATCTCTCATCTCGATCTCCACAGTGAAAGGCTTTAGTGATAAAAATTCTGAGTAAGTCACCCACTTTTATGTCGGAAATCTCTACCAGAACCCACTGTTGAATTTTTAGGGCATACCTTTGCTTGTTTTCAGGATCAAGAATACTGAGCTAGCTTTAAGTAGCAAACTGATTGATATATGCAATTATAGGATGTGTTGAGATGAACGATAGCCTTTACATACTGAAAACTTTACTGCAGATATTGTTTTGAAGACAGCTTTGCGTCCTAAATGCAATTAATTTTTTGTAAGCTTCATTACGTTAAACAGAGCGTTCGGACACTTTCTGCCATGGCCAAAAAGTACGTGCGTCGGTCTGTGTGCACTTCTCTGGGAGAGGGCGTGGTGTCTCAGCTGACGCTGTGGGGACACTCGGGTTATCTATGCATCTTCTTTAGACCTGCGACGCGGTAAACGGGCGGCCGTGTCCGCTCTGCCTCGTTCGTCTTACCATTGTTTTAATTAACCTGTTAAATACGGCTTGAAATATTTTTATTTTATTTATTCTATTTTTACTGAAATATACTGCATTATTGTGTTAATGTATTATCTTTACTGGATAGTATCTCACAGTGTATCCAGGCCTAAGCAATCTCAGTGAACTATACGTCACCTAAAAGGTGGTTTTGTAATGATTTGTAGTCACATTTTTATTGGAATATGTAGAAGAAATGGCAAAATGCTCAAAGGTCCTTTTATTTTTTAAAAGCAGCTAGACAGACGCAGACTCGCCACCTCATCTTTGTGCTCCTTGGCGGCATCGAGGGGAACAGCCAACAGGCCTCTGGCAAAAACTTTACTTTGCAAACCAAAAGCACTGCTCGGTGCTTTGTTTTTATATCTGTCACAGCACATGTGATCTCCCCTCAAAGACGCATGTCCACAAGCCCTTTGTTTCCACCTGGATATAAGATCACCCATGGCCACTTAGGACATTGTTCTCTGTGTCTGTCTGGTCGCGTGAAGGGACATTAGGCCCATTTCCATTAAAGTACGTTCTTCGTGATAAACTGTTAGCACTGCTACCTTTTTAAAAATCCAGTCCGATTTTATGATGGGGATTTGCAAGGCCATTGTACACAAGGTCACTCACTAGGAAGCCCGGAATCTTTCCTCCTCGTCTCGTATGACACACTCATTTCATAAGCACCACCACACAAATTCAAGATTTCACAAACAACGGGAGAAACCTGTCCCTGACTGATGCTAGCACAATTTAACTAGTAAAACCATTAGCTCTCTAGTTTGCCAGGCTTCCTTAACCTAATACACAGCTGACATGTGTGTGGCACAGCCAGGAAAATGAAGTTTAATTTATTTCAGCTTCAGAGAAAAGATTCGGCTCACACTTGATCAGTGAGAGCACTCCCTGCCATCCAAAGCAGCTTGTTTATCCTGAAAGAACGCTTGCTTTTGCTTTCTGCCCCGTTTGCTGTTGACCACTTTTACACATTTTAATGTAACATGTTGTGAGAATAAACTTAGCTGCATAAAATGTCTGGCTCATTGATCTGACATCTCAATCCTACAGACCCAGGAATGGAAATGCAAGTGTAGTGTCTCCATGCTAGTCGTTTTATTTTCAGATGATTCTTACCTCAAATTAAAGATCATTTTAGTAATGAAAGATTCTGCTTGATTGTTATTGCAGATTTCCACCCGGTAAGAACTAGAAAGTAACTTTAAATTTTGAGTAATTTATCACACTGCCCTTATTTGTCAATCAGCAGTGACAGCCGGCGTCCTTAGTCACCAACTTGAGACTTGTGGAAGCCGTCTTCCTCGTATCAAGATAGTCTAGCTTTCGTTCTTTTTAAGAACGTGACGTCAAAGAACGAAGAATAGGGGCACCTGGGTGGCTCAGTCGGTTAAGCATCTGCCTTTGGCTCAGATCCTGATCCCAGGATCCTGGGATCAAGTCCTGCATCGGGCTCCTTGCTCCGTGGGGACCCTGCTACCCCCTCTGCCCCTGCCACTCCCCCTGCTTGTGCTCTCTCTCTCTCTGTCAGATAAATAAATGAAATCTTAAAAAAAAAAAAAAAGCGGGGCGCCTGGGTGGCTCAGTCGTTAAGCGTCTGCCTTCGGCTCAGGTCATGATCCCAGGGTCCTGGGATCTAGTCCCGCATCGGGCTCCCTGCTCGGCGGGAAGCCTGCTTCTCCCTCTCCCACTCCCCCTGCTTGTGTTCCTGCTCTCACTCTCTCTGTCAAATAAATAAATAAAATCTTTAAAAAAAAAAAAAAAAAAGCTGTACAGGCACTAAATCTAAAATCAAAGGTAACCAGAAAAGCAGTTAGATCTGGGCTAGGGCTAGTTTTAACTGTCAAGACATATGAAGATAAGTGGAATTTAGAGTATGTACCCTTTTTTTTTTTTGGTTCATCTTGAAACATCCCCCCCCCCCCCCCCGCCCCAGTTTCTTCCTAACTATTCAAAGGCAGTTACTCTGAGGGAACAAAATTTCATTTTGGTTTCAGGTATTATATTAATGGTAATTTCAGATAAAATTTGCTATTGGAGAATCTACCAGTAAATTCATTATTTTAGATTTTTGCAGCACTTTTCTCTAAGAAGTTCAAGAACGGAAAATGTGAGTGTAATCCATAATCTCCTTCACTAGAATTCTCACGTTTTTATCCAAAGTCTTTTTCCTTTTTTACTCTACAAAAGTACTTAAATAATTGATCACGTCCTTAGAAGACTGTCAAAGAAGAACACTTCAGGCTTAATGAATCATTTAGAATCCCCATATATTTCTAAAGAGAAAAAGAGTGACAAGATACGTGCGATGAGATACTGAAAATAAGGGGCTTAAGTTGTGATATGACATGAATCACAAGCTTACCAGAAAAATATCCTGAACTATTCCTCTACAATGAGAGTTTGTATAACATCACAGAAAATAAATATCTCAGACCTGCTACTTTTGGACAATGGAATACTTTTCAGCCTGGGGCAGGGGAAGAGGGCAGGAGGAATTAGCGATTCCAGGGATAAAATACCAGCTCTTTACCCAACCAAGTTCAACTCAGCTGCACCAGCTAGCCCTCTAGAGGCCTGGAGCGCCCAGAGCCAGACAATAGTACGAGGAAAGACCTAATTTATGAAACAAAGAGGTCTATCGGTTTTGATTTTTGAAATCAGTAAATTAAGTTGGGCACTTAAAACATTTCTGTACTTTCTGAGAGTCATAATTGAGAATTCTTTGGGGATTTAAAATAGAAGTTCACGTATAAAAAGGCCTGTTTCCTTCGCTGACACATTCTGATAAATGTAAATTTTCAGCGAAAATATTTATTACTACTAAAATGAAATTCACCATTTTGTTTATCCTCACTTCAAGTGAGAAAATAACGACTAGAATATTAGAGCTAAAATCGACCTAAAAATTCATCTTGAAGAGGATAATGTTCTACTGAAATCATGCCACCTGAATTGAACGTTTAGGAATTTACATAACACTGTTCAACACAATTGGATTCTGAAAATAGAACTTTATATTCAAACTTTGTGTCTATGAACATTTTTTAAACAATAGGTTTCATAGTTGTAACTCATTTGATTTAATGTCAAACAATTTCTGTTTCCATGATGAAAAAAGAATCAATAGACCCAGAAATGATAATCATACCAATTCTTGGTAGGCAACTGATAATACATCCAAGATGAATTGACTTTTAATATAATTAACATAGTGCTCTACAATATATTTTAATTGTACATCAGAAATGATTTCCCAAAGTTTGATTACCGGGTGCCATTCGGAATGACTTGTAGATTTTACCATTTCACCTGATCTTGGAACAGAATCAGACATTTTTATGGATTTCTTTAATAATCGGTGTCACTTGTATTCAGCAGGTTTGCCTCTTCCTCAGAGTTAGTACTATTTAGATGGCAATCTGTGTACACTCTTTTCCAACCATATTTGGCACGGTCAGCAGGGATAGTGGACTATGTTCCATCTGCTCAGGATCCTGGAAGCTTTTCCCATGAGAAACTGTTTTCGCTCTGGTACTAACGTGCAGCTGAACTACCCACACCTGGAACTTCGGAACCTTCTGTTCTTCCTACTCGGACTCAATCTCAATCACATCACAAAAACTCATGCCGTCCCACGTTTAAAGAATATTTTGATTTTTTAAGAAAAAAAATCGACCTCCATAGTGATTGAAAATGTCAAACCACAAGTGAATAGATCCGGAAAAGCAAGCTCAAGTCGGTGTGAGAGGCCAGCAGCTTTTCCCTATCTGCACTTTCTAATAAACCCGCCTCAAGTCTGTTACAAGGCAGACAGTGTTTCCCTTCAGGAAAAATTGTTGCAGCTTCCTCTTAAAACAGTGTCCTGAGTCCCGACTGGAAGTTAGCAAGAGGGAGGCAAGTTCTAACAGCTGATCCGGAGTCTACAGCTGGACATTGTAGAACAGATCAGCACTGAGCTGTTGCAGTGCAGGACTTCGGCCTTGTTGAATCGCCTACATTATTGTTTCTCACTTGTCTTAATTCCCTTGAAGGTTCTATCACATGTAGAAGATACTTAGTGACCAAAAGCGTGAGTATCTTGTGTAGGGTAATCTAACCTTCAGAGAGGTATCAGACTTTGACAAAAAGTCAACTGCCCTCGACGTCTGTAAAAACCACAACACAGTCAAAGCCATGGTCGAGGACGTCTGAGTGGGGAGGAAGGTAAGTTCTCCTTAGGCTTTTCCCCTCTTCTGGTTATTGATGGTGAGGGAAAGTAACTGGTCTTGGGTCCAAGCCAATGATAGTAAAAATGTTGAGTTGGTATCTGAGATTTGATCCTGTGGGGACTTGAAGATGGCAACATCACTGGAGGCAAAACAATCTCTATGGGTTTCAGTGCGATCACTCTGTCTTCTGGGCGACGTCTTACGAAGTTTATCTGCCGTTCGTATGGTCTGGGGTGAGCTGTGTTCTTCATAAAGGTAGGCACTAAGGGATTGGCGGCGGGCTTGCCGGGTTTTCTGACCGGCAAGGAAGAAGCTGCTGAAGTGGCATTTTTCTGTGCCAGAGATGTTTTTGTTGTCAATGTCTCTGACCGATTAGCATGTGCATTTGTTTCTCGATTCAGGAACTCAGCGATTTTCGTTTGGATACTGTTATTGTCACTAGTGGGAGCTTTCGGCAATGATATTTTTGATTTTTTCTTCTTCTTCTCCCGCTTTGAAGATTTACCCAACTCAATTCCATCCAGTAGACCCTTAGCGGCAGCCCGGGCCAGAACGTCTCTCACAGACACTGTCTCAGATGGGTCCCGCTACAATTAAAAGAAGCAGTTACTCACTGTCAGAGTTAACTATTGCTGTGCATATTACAAATGTTCTCAGCTTCAGGAAAAACAAATGAGTACCTTTATTACTATAAAAGAAATGGTTTTTAGGCCTTAGTCCCAAATATATCCCATAAAACTCAGCAAATGACTGTCTTTTTGTACTTAAACTTCCCCATTTGTAAATCTGATAGAAAAAAAAAATTCTAGGCCTTATTTCTTCCATGTGAGCTTAGATGAACTACATGTTGGCAAAGTGCTTGGAAAGTGGGGGTGGAGAGCAGGCAAGGGAGGAACGCTCAGGAGGAATAGGAAGATAAAAATAGGGATTTGGGGGCGCCTGGGGGGCTCAGTCAGAAGAGTGAGCAACTCTTGATCTGAGGGTCGTGGGTTTGAGCTCTATGTTGGATGTAGAGCTTACTAAAAAAAATAAGTACCCTTAAAAAAAAATAGGGATTTTTGTGCCACACAGTAGTAACTCTTTCTCCTGTCTTTTAGCTATTTTTTTTATTATGTTCAGTTAGCCAGAATATAGTACATTGAAAGTTTTTGATGTAGTGTTCAACGATTCATTAGTTGTGTATAACATCCGGTGCTCATCACAACACGTGCCCTCCTTAATACCCATTACCCGGTTACTCCATCCCTCCACCCCCCTCCCTTCTGTAACCCTCAGTTTGTTTCCAGAGTCCAGAGTCTCTCATGGTTTGTCTCCCTATCTGATTTCTTCCCATTCAGTATTCCCTCCCTTCCCCTGTGGTCCTCCGCGCTATTCCTTATGTTACGCATATGAGTGAAACCATATGATAATTGTCTTTCTCTGCTTGACTTATTTCACTTAGCACAATCCCTTCCAGTCCCATCCATGTCGATGCAAATGGTGGGTATTCATAAATAAGCACACCATTACAAAATGTTCACAAAGTACCTAGGTTCCTCTTTATGAGGTTTGTTCTTTCTTAATTCCAAAGTATGACATGGATTGGAATTTTCCCCCCTTACCTCCCTTGTTAGAACAGAAAGAAAACAACCATTGGTAATTCCAGATGGTTCCATTCTGAAAAATTTATCAGTAGACAGATGTATTTCCTTTAAGGAGCACAGTGGAAGGACAGGAGGACTAAGCCTGCAATAGAAATGAGCAAACAGGAAATGGTTAGAATGGCTTGTCTGCCAATCGAGAAAGACAGTAAATTTCAACAATTTTTCTTCTATTTTCTAATCATTTAAACAAAAATTCTAAATAAGAATAAAATGCCAAAGTAGAACAATATTGTAAATTAAAAGCTCTAATATTTCACGTTAGCTCATAATTTATTTTGCTTCCCAAGGTTTGCATCTTTAAGCAACTATGCCAAGAATATCAACCTTGCCACAAATTAAAAATTCTTTTCCAAGTCACTAATATCTTAACAGAAAGACTTCCATTATCAAAACAGGTAAATATGTATAATAATCACAAAGATAAAATAGAAAAAATCCTTCACTTTCACATGTTGTCAAAATACAAAAAGTATGACTTCCTTCTTTTGATTACTTTTTGCACAATTACAATATAAAAATGGCCTATCGTTTTAACTACATTATTCTTCCCAACCGCTTTTTGAGTATTAGTGAATGTGTTACACAGTGCTCAAGAAAGTGCACAACAAAGATTTTGTGCCAGAAACATAAAAAGCTCTAATCACTATTATGTGGAAAATAACATCTTGGTTTTTATATTTACTATTTAATTTCTCATTCAGTAGTAAGTGGTTCATTCATAAATAATAAATAATTCTTATATTCCCATGCTTTTGCAATTAAAATATATCTAATAAAGGAATAAACATTTTTCCATATAAATTAAGGTGTCAGGAACTCTTGTTAATAATTTTGTATATTTTGAAATTTAACACCTTTTTTTTCAAGTTTTTATTTAAATTCCAATTGGTTAACAGTGTAATACTAGTTTCAGGTGTAGAATTTAGTGATTTGAAACCATTTTAAATGTATATTTATTCATTCACTATTTGCCTACTATGTGCAAGGCACATAAATATTAATTCTTTTGAATAGTTTACAATTTAGTTGGAGAAACTTTATAATAATATAAAGAAGACCCAATAAGAATGCTGAGCCAAGTAGAGACAAAATCATGTAGGAATAAGGTACAATTAACTCTGGCCATGGGATGGCAGATACGAAGACTCCACCAAAGAAGAACCATTGGTGCTATGTCTTGAAGAATGAGTAAGTTTCCAGTAACATAAAGAAAGTATTTCTAGGCAGAAAGAAGAACATGAACAAAAGCACAAGTGTGTCATAAAAAGGTGTGTTCATACCTTATGATCCAGCAGTTGCACTACTAGATATTTACCCAAAGGATACAAAAATACACATTCAAAGGGATACATGCACCCTGATATTTATATAGCAGCATTATCAACAATAACCAAACTATGGAGAGAACCCCATTGACTGATGAATGGATAAAGAAAATGTGGTATATGTACACAATGGAATATTCCTCAGCCATCAGAAAGAATGAAATCTTGCCATTTGCAAGGACATGGTTGGAGCTAGAGAGTATTTTGCTAAGTGAAGTAAGTCAGAGAAAGACAAATACCATATGATCTCATTCATGTGGAATTTAAGAAGGAAAATAGATGAACATATGGGAAGGGGGAAAAGAAAAAAAGGGAAACATTCCATAAGAGACTCTTAAAAATAGAGAACAAACTGAGGGTTGATGGAGGGAAGTGGGTGGGGGATGGGCTAGATGCACCCACCTAGCCCATGGGTATTAAAGAGGGCACTTGCTATGATGGGCACTGAGTGTTGTACGTAAGTGATGAGTTGCTGAATTCTACTCCAGAAACCAGTATTGCACTGTATGTTAACTAGCTAAAATTTAAAAGATAATTAATTTAATTTAAATTTATTTTAAATTAATTTTTAAATTGAAAAAATAATAATAATTTAAAAATGTGTTCAGGGTACAGCAAGTGTTTCCAAGTGGCTGGGATATAAAGTGAGTAAGTGGATGTAGAGGTCACTTAGGATGCAGGCAGACCCATATGACCTCAAATGACATGCCAAAGAGTGGTGCAATGGTGGTTCTTTTTTTTTTTTTTTTTAAGATTTTATTTATTTGACAGAGAGAGACACAGCAAGAGAGGGAACACAAGCAGGGGGAGTGGGAGAGGGAGAAGCAGGCTTCCCGCCGAGCAGGGAGCCCGATGTGGGGCTCGATCCCAGGACCCTGGGATCATGACCTGAGCCGAAGGCAGACACTTAACGACTGAGCCACCCAGGCGCCCCCAAATGGTGGTTCTTAATAAATGTTTATGTTGAACTAAGCTGAAATATAATAGCTGTGTAGGTTCTAAAGGCAACCTTATAATCAACAAATTGAATTTCTGAGGCCTATTCATATATATGCTCTACACAAATAGAAATGATCAAAAAAATTTTATTCACATAAGGTAAAGAATACTCTTTGAAAATAATGATTTCTTACCAATTGGGAACATATTTAGTTCCAGAATGTAAATATGAAGGTTGGGGTTTTGTCAATTTTAATTTATAATATATTCCTAGCACCTAAAAGAGTGTCTGGTACATAATAAATATTCAGTAAGTGTTTAATACATATGATATATCTTAGCTATATATTCTGTCTTTTTAAATGGTAATAATAATCCTAATTAAGATTGGTCAAGTTACCTTATAGAAACTGTCTCCACATAACAAAGTTATTTCTAAACTCCAGCTTACAGGCCATTTCTTCAAATAATAAATTAATACCCAGTCTCACACATACCTTAGATGATCACATTTGGAATCTGTAGAATTGATATTTAGA